GTTATAATATTAAATTAATTTATCCCAAAAATTAAATTAGTTTTAATTCTTAATACAAAACACCAAATTCATTTTTCAAAGGACAACGGTAGCTTGATGTTTCAAATGTGATATTTATGACTAGTATTTAATGGTAATTGATCACTTATATTATTCATCATATAAAGTACACAATTCAACAGTCAACTATGACTTTAAACACTTCAAAAGTCATACCGACACTGTTGCCATGCTACGTTTTGTGGTATGAAATCTGAGGTGTCCCTCAATACATACATTTACGCACGAATAGAACCATTGATCAGTTTTAATGTAGCTGGATAGCTTCCTCACATGACAGTATAAAACCCATACCGGTGAGGGTTTAATGAGTTTCGAAGTCAGGGGCCTTAATTACTGGGCTTCGGATGCGCCACTTGTCAGTGTTAAGGAATGCATACAGAAGATTTGGTTAAATGTTAAACAGGCCGAATCAGGAAAACACGTTTCTGGCACGTGTCTGGTGTACATAAAATCTACTACAAGAAACTGAATTTCAAGATAACAAGAATACCACTTAAGGGGACACAAGTCTTAGCCTAGTCATAGAAATTCTGGTTACTTTACCTGACGCAGCGTTCATATATGACATCGAATGTTTAAATATAATTTTTTGTGGAATATAAAATCATAATTATACCAAATTAAAACATCAGTTTAAACTATTGTTATGCCCTTTATATTAATAATGTCTGTATTTTTATATTAAGAGCGACAATGGTATAATTGCAAACTAAGACCAGCATGTACATCCGGGCAGTCTGACTAGACCCTATGATCAAGATTAGGACCAAAATATATATTTTCAAACACTCTCCATCGTTTTTCCAATTGCCTGAATGTTCTCTATAAAAATGGACTTTAAATAAAATAAGTTATGAAATTTTAGAACATTTTCATAATTATTTTAAAAGATATGCATATTTAAACGTTGATACAAACATTGATCTTGATCTTAAATTTTATTCCCTTTTTTCTGATCTAGCGATTTTTGTAATTTGAACTGTTATTCCGACTTATTATCACAAAATAAGTTTGTTTCTTTGCAAACCAGTATTCGTTTATAATTATGTACATAAAACAAGTACAACTGTATATGTATCAAATCATATTAGCCTAATATGAACAATATAAGCTTCATACTTTAATAAAAATAAAAATACGATCATTTGGTCCTCATTCTGGACCCTTTTTTCTGTTAAGATGGGACCAGACTTTACAAATGACTACTCTGCTTTAATATTTTGATAGTACATGCTTTATTATTGATTAATGGATCGTTTCACATTTAAAGTTTATTGAGCCTATATTTCACATTTCAGCACGGCCGTGAATGACGTGCTAAAAATCTCCAAATAGACTGTTGCACAAATGTTTGAATGCACGTTACAATTACTAAGGCAGTTTGACGGTGAAAATGTTTCCTTTTTCTCCTATAAAAAGCTATTGTTTACAGACCGACGCATTTTACATAATAAACAAGAAATTTAGTTTACATTTTATGGGCGCATAATAGGTTTCAATTAAATATCTTCAAATACTTTCGAAATGCTTTATTGTAACATTACTCCATTTAAAGTGATTTCTTGTAAAAGAATGACTCACCAGCCATAACAATTAGATTTAATTTATTTCCTTCTCTTAAGCCATTTTACGACAACAAGTCACAAGTTATGATTATGCTGGCGCCACCTAACGGCATAGCCATGGTCTGAAAATAGCATTTTATTTTCATATTGATAGTGTCAAGAATTTTGAGCATTGGTTAGGAAAAATCTTAGGCGAGGTACTTGTTGGTTTTTTTTTCTTTGGAAATTTGACGGTCGACATAATTTTTTGGATCGACTTGTCTTCAATCGCTGTTTGCACATGTGGAAAAGTTGGAAGTAACTTGCGGTTTGAAACGAAATCTAGGAACACCGTAACGCCGAATAAAGTTCCCTCATCAAATATATCTCCCGTAGTGCTTAAAATCCGTCATGAGCTCCTTTGGAGCTATATTTGATCAGTTTAACGAATAAAAAGCTTCAGCGAACTAGTTATGTCTTCAATATGAATTGTCATGTAACATCATTTGACAGTTTAAATATTTTACATGAACGTCGGTCACCTAGGAAATTTTAGTTGACAACTTCAAACAGTAAAATTGTTAAATGTAGCCGCCTTTTAAATTACTGACCATTAGTTAACATATTATTCATTCAAGGAACTCCACTGAGTTTATTTGACATTACAGGTCTGGAAATTTTTTTTGGGATTAATGTTTATGTAGATGTAGACTAATATCTTAAGTGAAAAATTTCAAGTCATTCGCTCACTCCGTCTTTCCAGAATAATTATTCTAAATGTGAAAAATGATCGAAAACTGAAAAGCGTTGCAACGCTTTTCACTCATATTGGGTTAATACAACACAAAAAATACGATTTTCAATTTATTCTGAGTATATTTCTTACATGTCTTTTGCATATCTTTCTATTTTAAATGCCCTAGTTGATCTATGTAAGAAATTCCACTTTTATGTGTTTGGCTTTTGGACCTCATCGAAGTTCCTTTAATCAATCGGGCCCTATTCCCATTCAAAAGCAGATTACTTTGATTAGGAAACATAATGCTTTGTGCTAACGTTAGATGCCTTGCTGAAAACATTTTAGTTTATATGTCGAACTTCCGGCAAATATTTTCCTATTTTCAGAACATGGCAAAACAGGACATTGAAAAATCACTTTTGTCTTTTAATATTTTTAATTATCATTTCTAACTCAATGTATAAATATTTCTAAAATCCAAAACTTATATCACTCATTGTTTTTTTGTTTTCCTAATCCAACCCCGCCTATAATTTGTTGCGATATAAATTAATGTTTATTCATGCTTGACTTAATATAACTATACACCCCATCCGGATATGAAACAGCAAATAAATTGCAAATTATGTTTTAAAGGTACATTCAGCCTCAGAAATGAAAATACTTGCAGATTTAGAACTTGTGAGGTGCTTATCAGAAAGTAGCATTGATTGTGAAATTAATTTATGGAAAATGGAGCTAAATGTAGATAAAGTGGTAATTTGACTTCCATACAAAATTCTAAATCACTTTAAGTGTACTAATTGCCAAAACCTGAAAGAAGCAAAAGATGGTTCAGATATAAGGCTAATGAGTAATTTTGGGGAAAACCTGTAACAGGACACAAAAATAAACAACTGCTGAAAAATAAAAATAATTCCGCTTTTCAGGCTTATTGGGCCTTTAAAAAGAATTTTTTGCAGTCTTAAAGTTGTAATCAGAAATATTCAAACAAATATACCCTCTAGCGGGAAATATTTCTTATGCATAAGGCAAACATTTTCCAGGGTTTTTTTTTATATTTATGATATAGATCTAGATGCATATGAAACTACGCGTGTTTTATGAAACTACGCGCGTTGGAATAAGTTCCCCTTTATGACCGCGCCTTTGTGAAACCCGTGTTTCATAAATGAAAAGACAGGGACATTTTTGGTATCTTTACACTTCCATGATATAATACATATTCACAACTTTATACTGCAAGGTCCCTCATACATGAATATCTAATAGAATCGTTGTATCACAAAAAATTGTGGCGCATAATCTTCCTAATATACATTCATGATTTGCATGTTGAAATTGTGGCATTAAAGTGAATTAAAATATAAGAAAAAATATGCAGGGAATGAATGACATCGACATGTAGGCAGTATAGCCAAATACAGAAAACACGTTGTGGAGAATTTGAGTTATTTACCTAAGTGATTTACATATTGAATTCTTGAGACAATAGTCGGTAACGGGAATGAAGCCTAGATAAAATTACTCTGATTAAAAACGTTAAGCATAAGGATCTGACGAGCACCAATAGGGGGGGGGGGGCGTCTTCTTGTGACCTGTCAAACAGCCAATCATCTGCGATCTTTTACAATTTGAAAGCGATGCGTCACATAATTTCAGCAAACTTTGCCCCACGACAGAGACTGAAATAACAAACTAGTTGAACTTTGTCTTTTGTAAAAAAATGTTGTTTTTTTTGTAGGCTTCGTAAAAATTTGATAAGCAAGTGACTGAAACATTATCAAATGAAAAAGGTATGAAATTTTCATACAATATGCAAATATATTGACATAAATGATTTATTATTTTTCTTCATTTACTGTTTTACATACAATAAAAAGATGTAGGAGACCAATAAGAGAAGTTTTGTTCAATTGTAACATAACTTTTACCATCCCCCCACCCAAAAAAACAAAAAACAAAAACGGAATAAACGGAAAAAACTAAAGCCATACTCATATACTCATATACTCATATGACTTTCATGATGACAGTAATAGTATGCCCATTTAAGGGTATTAATATAGTGAGTGAGCAAGTGAAAGTCAAAATACATGTAAGTTTACATTTTGCCATAATTAAAAATAAAAAGCTTACGTGGTCTAAGTAAAATATCAATCAGAACTTACCTTTAACGTTCAATTTATAAAAAGAGTGGTGTAGTTTTTTTTTTTTTTTTTTTTATATTTTAAGTATTTTTATATTTCATCATTAAACTTCATCATTAAATTAGTAAATATTTTGGTGTGAGATAATATTAGAGAATACAAAAGTACGGAAAACATTTACTTATTTATGATATATATGTTTAAATCGTGAAAAAAGTCAATCACAATAAAAATAAATATATATATAGGTATATTTTCATGATTTCCTTATTTTACTGGTAGGATATAGATTTGCATGATATGTCAAACGGTAACAAAAACCTACTGAATAAAATGCAAATAATATTCTGTTTGAACTTTTTGTAAAATAGCAAATAGGCAATTAATAACCCAAACAATTTTATCGGATTTGGTACTTCTTTCAATAGCAAAATAGTGTTGCGTATGTATACATGTGTTTACAAACTCCTGGTTGTATAAAAATATATATACATATATAATTAGGATATTGAAATGGATAATATCTAATTCAACTTCGCAGACGACTTTTAAAATGCAGCGGACCGACTGTTCTATCAAGTAATGACATACTTATGTTACAGGGTTCGTGTTATTTTATTGTCAACCTTCAGTATACGTGGTTTAAAAGTTTTTATAAACAATTTCTTCAACAGTTTGAAAAGATGCGGTTGACAGACGACAAATTTCGTGGATGAGAAATTACACGAAAGTAAGATAATGCGATTTCATTACTAATTGTCATCAGTGTTGTTTGTGTGTGATGAGCAACCGGCATTTGATCAAACATTAAAGCATTAATGAATTATGAATTATGCTAATTAAATGCTGCGTAGTGTTGTGGATTCGGTTGTTTTAAATCATTTACACAGTGGACAGCATACTTACTGAGTGTCTATTGTTAAAAAAATTATGGAATTTAAATCTGTAATTCAACTTCTCGTGTGTGTCGTCTGCTGTACGTCTGTTTTAGGTAAGATTGATACAATTCTATTTTATTTATTTATGTTAATATGTTGTTAATTTATCTTATCGAGATTTTCATTTTTAATTGACATAATTTACTTTCACTTTAAAAGTAATATAGATCTATTGTTAAAAACTATATAATTCAACGCGTTGTGTTTGTCGTCTGCTTCACGCCTGTTTTAGGTAAGATTCCTATAATTTTATTTTATTCAGTTGAAAATTTATTGAGATATTCATTTTTAATTGATTTAATTCAGGAATTGCGTTTCACTACGTAATTTTACATCAGGTAGCCGACAATCGTTTGACAGAGTATTCAATTGCGTTTGAATATCAAAATTGTCCTTTGTCCGATTTTTTTTTAAATTTTCATTCACGATTACAAATAACGTCAACAAAAATAAAAGACAACAAACTATAGTCTATATTTACAAACTGCAATTCACGAATTTATAACTTACATGTTATGTTTGTAGGCTTACATTTAATATCAATCAAAACTGACATATAAACACATGAAAATATGTTTGAAAATTTACTTTTTTTCGTTATAAATGCATTGTATGTCTTGACCTTTGTTGATTTGACCTTTCAACCCTAACACACAACAAGTGGGTCTCTAATTACAATTTAAATTGAAATTTAATGCAAAATGTTTGCCATCGACATACATATCCACCCAGTGTGTTTTGGGCGTTTCAGAAAGTCGCCTCTTTTTAAAAGCAGCTTGCATAATGTATTTTTAAATCGCTTCAATTTTTTTTATATCCGTCATTGAAATGGTAATTTGGGCATGAAGTTATATAAATATCTCAAAATAGAAAGTATCTCATTAAAATATATCGAGATCTATTATTTTTGCACGGATGGATAATGAAATAGGTTGGTTACCATATGAAAAAACATTCAGCCGTGTATAAGAAATGTAAACGTACAATGCTAAAAATAAATGACCGTTTCGGTTAAATGTCTTGTTTATTAAGGTTTTATATGGATTGTTATCTGCCAATAAACTATTCAGTCTATTGTCCGGCTTGACACGACTCTTCTATTTGGAGGTCAAAATATCAACAGCCTGAAGGAAACATTTTGATTTTCTAGAGATACATATTTCATCCACCTAATCGTTTGTCATATTTTCTTTCTTTCTTCCTTCTTTCCTTTCTTTCTTTCTTTCTTTCTTTCTCTTTCTTTCTTTCTTTCTTTCTTTCTTTCTTTCTTTCTTTCTTTCTTTCTTTCTTTCTTTCTTTCTTTCGTTCGTTCCTTCGTCCGATTTACCATAATTCGTTTTCAACGAAACAACATTATCATGGTGAAATAAGAAGTATTCCCTTAAAATTACGGAGCTCCAGCGATAATATAAGAGCCGTCCGACTGTACGACCTAAGCATATCGGGACATCTGTATTCCAATGGTGCCTTAACTTGTACAATATGTCAATAATTTGGTAGAAAATATCTAACGATTTTCATTACCGTTATATTTTCAGTTTTAATTGTTAATATTTTATCGTAATATAGATTGTTTCAGCAATTAATTTTTGTGTATAGATCTGATAATCCATGTGTAATATAATTTTTCAGGACAAGATAACTGCAATGACACAGAAACACCATGTAAGTATAATATAGTATGTATTTCATATATACTAAGTACGGATACATTCCTATGCAAGGTAACTAATCTTTTAATGGCATAAAAACTAAGTAAAGTTGTATTGTATTATCGTTTTTTTGTACTGCTGTATCGTATTGTATTTTTCTATATTGTATTGTTCGGTAATACTTCGTTATATTCCGTATTGTTTTTTTCTGTATCTGTTTTTAGATTATATAAATTTATTGTATTGCAATATAATACATTGTAAAGTCTGTTCTGTATTGTAATGATTTTTATTACAGTCTGTGTTGCATGTAATTTTACTTTACAGTACCACGCTTTGCTGTGCTGTGCTGCACAACACAACACAGCACTGTACTGTATTGTACAGTAGTGTACAGTCCTGAGTAGTTGTACATTTTTAATTGATTGCTTTGAATGATATGTAATATGAATGTGAAAAATGATCTAAACAAGTTAAAGCTGCACGCCTCCAGATGAGCCAAATTATTTCAAGAAATTCAATCTTTAGAAAAATAAATTAAAATCTTGAGAAAAGTAAAAGGTTTCAATATCTAATTAATTATTGACATGTAACATGCGATTAATGACTGTTTTTGCAGTATCAATCACTATAATTCTACTGCGTTACTAACGCAGTAAGAGGTATTTATGTATATGTTGACCTCTATTTGGTAATTTACGTGGACTGTAAGTGCCACTTGCAATGTGTAAATAACTTTCTTTGTTCACTTCACAATATTTTACTTTGAAATACATTTTTAAAATTTTCATGAAAATTAGCATGAATCTGGAGGCATGCTGCTTTAAAATGAAGGGAGCATCTTGTTTGTTAGACATATTTATACCCCCCCACAACAAAGTTGTAAGGGGGGTATACTGGAATCAGCTTGTCCGTCCGTCCGTCCGTCCGGCTGTCCGGCCGTCCGTCCGTCGGTTTTTTCTTGTCCGCCCAATAACTTAAGATTCCTTTGACCCTTAGTCTTCATATTTGGCATGAAGGTTAGTCAGGATTAGTAGATGACCCCTATTGATTTTGAGGTCACTAGGTCAAAGTTCAAGGTCACAGGGGCCTTGACTTCAAAAAGCTTGTCCGTCCAATAACGTAAGGTTCCTTTGACCTACAGTCTTCATATTTGGCATGGAGGTTAGTCATGATTAGTAGATGACCCCTATTGATTTTGAGGTCACTAGGTCAAAGGTCAAGGTCACAGGGGCCTTGACTTCAAAAAGCTTGTCCGCCCAATAACTTAAGATTCCTTTGAACCACAGTCTTCATATTTGGCATGGAGGTAAGTCATGATTAGTAGATGACCCCTATTGATTTTGAGGTCACCAGATAAAAGGTCAAGGTCACAGGGGCCTTGACTTCAAAAAGCTTGTCCGCCCAATAACTTAAGATTCCTTTGACCCACAGTCTTCATATTTGGCATGGAGGCAAGTCATGATTAGTAGATGACCCCTATTGACTTTGAGGTCACCAGGTCAAAGGTCAAGGTCACAGGGGCCTTGACTTCAAAAGCTTGTCCGCCCAATAACTTAAGATTCCTTTGACCCACAGTCTTCATATTTGGCATGGAGGCTAGTCATGTAAGTAGATGACCCCTATTGACTTTGAGGTCACCAGGTCAAAGGTCAAGGTCACAGGGGCCTTGACTTCAAAAAAAGCTTGTCCGCCCTAAAACTTTAGATTCCTTTGACCCACAGTCTTCATATTTGGCATGGATGTTGATCATGATTAGTTGATGACCCCTTTTGATTTTGAGGTCACCAGGTTAAAGGTCAAGGTCACAGGGACTTTGACTTCAAAAAGTTTGTCCAACCATTAACTTTAGATTCCTTTGACCCACAGTCTTCATATTTGGCATGGATGTTGATCATGATTAGTAGATGACCCCTTTTGATTTTGAGGTCACTGGATCAAAGGTCAAGGTCACAGGGACTTTGACTTCAAAAAGTTTGTCCACCCATTAACTTAAGATTCCTTTGACCCACAGTCTTCATATTTGGCATGGATGTTGATCATGACTATAAGGTGACCCCTATTGATTTTGAGGTCACTGGGTCTAAGGTCAAGGTAACAGGGACCTTGACAAAAAAAAGCTTTTCTTCTCAACTGCTTAAGAATGTCCTGTCCGCAATGTATTGATTTTGACATTTTCACATTTGAAGCATGTAGAATACATAACTTAGCAATGCACTGGCTTAGTAACCTCAGATTTGGCAGGGAGGTTGTCCTTGAGCTCTAAATGGCCACTGTTGATTCTGACAAAGTGGTATGCGGGGGTATTCACGCCATGATATTGGCAGTTCTAGTTACATACAGTTAGTGAACAGTTCTGAACCGTGATATTTAGGAGAAGATTTGAACGCTAGATAGACACAAAGACTAATTAATACACTGATCATAGGCTCTGTTTTTCGTTTCCGAAAATATTTGATCATGTATGACAAAAACCATTTTCACTCAATTCCAATGTAGAATCAAGTACAACACAAGCATCTTGTTTACCATTTACTTAATATTCTATATTTCAGCAATTAAGATGTGTCAAACTACAAATAGGAATGTTCGAGCTAATACGTTTATTTACCTTGATTCTGGCGGTGCACCCATTCTAACCAAAGTTGAATGTACATGTACTTTGAGAGTTTCCGGTTCAGGATCATTCAACGTTGAATACAGGTAAGTAGAAGAGAAAGAGAAAATTTGGCGAACATTTTTTTTATATTTCTACAATTCACAATGGTGAGGTAACAGTTTGGGACACTTAAGGAAGCAGCAAACTTGTTTTTAAACCATATCCACAAAAATGAAACCGCCAAATCTTATACCGGTAAATTTGGAATTTTTTTTTGTGGAAATTGTTTAAAAATAAGTTTAATGATGAAGACAAATGCCCCATTTGTCTTAAAATATTACATGTTTATTGACCGTTTATAGCGGCAGTTCAAAAGTTTATCTTATTTTCTTATTTTTATCTGGAAGATGCACCACTACTCTATTTTTTTTAATATAGTTTTGCAACACAGTGGAGATACAGAATTCATTATGCAGGGTAAGAACTTCTTATTACAAATGATATCTGTAAAAGAATACCTTTCCTATAGATTTAAGCTATTTGTAAGTTTGCGGTTACATGACATCCTGAGTGAATGAGTGTCAGCCATTACATTCAACAGAACAGAGCATAATCTGTCATTGTGTGTTTTATTTTAGGGCCATTGAACAAATAACGAACTGTGAAGTAGATTTTACAATGAATGATAGAACGTGGGGTTGTCAAACAGAACAATTATCGGTACAATACCAGGGATCCAATAATTTGACTTTCATCAAGAAATTCAATAACAGACGAAACTGGTTATCGTGTCTTGGTATTATGACCGGTAAGATTATTTTAAAATTCGACAAGATATGATTTCGTAATAAGTCCTTATAAATCGCAACTTTCAGGGTATTGCGTCTTGCAGAACAGCGTTATGGACATTTCATTAAAAGACTTAAGCGTTGTTCAAGCTAGAAAGTTATTTGTACATTCTCTGCTTTCATGTAGATAGAACTTTAAGCTATTGACATACATTGTAATTTGTTAAAGATAATTGATAACATGTATAACCGGTTTTTTACGTATTAAATGTAATCATAGCTAAAATAAATCACGAGATAGTATCAGCCTTGTGTAATTATAAATATAGTATATGAACGATATGGCGACATCGAGGAAGCCGTTCATGTATTACGTAATACATGATTCGTATAACTGTTTTATCGCAATATTTCTCATTTTATCATATTTTTTTGTATTGGCCTCGGTAAATTTTTTGTAGCAGAAACACCCCTCGATGCCGTCCCTGCCAGTGTTATTTCCTCGTAACTAACTCGTTTCATATACTATAATTATCAAATAATATTTAGTTACTACTAGGTGTGCTTTTTGTGCGCCAGTTAACAATACATTGTATGTGCATGTATAAATAAACTTGTGAAAGGACGCGAAAGAAATGAACAAATAATGATTGAAATGCCAATTTTGTATAAAACATTTAAAGTATATAGGATCTGAGAAAAAAAAAAGATTGAAAAAATAATTATTACATTTACAGCTCAACACGATATGACCGTGGAATGTTACCCTTACCGAATATACTACGCCCCAGATGAAGGTAAATTTTAATATCTTTAAACAGCATTTACACATTAAATGTTTATTTTCTGATTTAAAAATATTTTAAGAAGCAACGACACTCAGTCGTACTGCAAGAAGCCATGATATACTCCGTCGTCAATTTTTCAAGGCAGCGTCGGGCACTAGCTTTTATTTGGTAACTTCTTCGGTGGCTCTTGAAAAAGATTCGCAATATCTTTTAAAGGGATTTAACCCTAATGCACCGAATTTAATAATTATAAAAATATGTCATTAATGATTAAAACCTCAAAATGAAATACTTGTACCTTTTGTCCTTTATTTCTAGCAATCATTTTCTTGACAAATAAGTCCTACATAATAAAATATGTGAATTCATAATTATTTTATTGTCAATATAAAACTGACTTACTGTACCTATCAAGTTTTGATAGGTAGACTACTTACTGCGTTGACATAACCTGTCTTGTAAATTTCCCTAATGTCCTAATTTCAGTGGTTGACGGTGGTTTTAGTGACTGGTCATTCACGTCAGAATGCTCCGTAACATGTGGAACTGGGGTTCGAACTCGAGAAAGGAGGTGCAACAACCCTTATCCGAGAAACAATGGAAGTGAATGTTTGGCTGAAGATGGAACGCGCACCTTGGTAGAGACCGGAAGTGTATCATGTGAGTCATCGTGTGAAGGTAAGCGGACCTCTTACCCTACTGTATTAAATAAGTAATTTATTTACTCTTCGTTAAATTTAGAGCTGTCAATATTTGTTTTAAGGGTGTCCATTTAAAGATCCTGTGTGTTGCATTTTAGGTAGTTACCACACTTAAGTGAAATTTTGTATATGTATAATTATAATTATAGCTCTAAAACATAAACCAAAACAATTTTTTTAAACATCGAAGAATATGTGAAAAATGTACTACAAATATTTGTCTACATTATATGTAATCATTATAATATATGCATACATTTCTTATTGAAAAAATTGACTTGGATTTTATAGAAAATAAATCTCTAATTACCTCCCTTTATTAACATGAAAATGTTAATTCGGTTATACCTTTACAAATAATGCTTTTGGAACTTACAATATTGATAAATCTTCATTTGAGCATTATATTTATGATATAAAACCATAAAAATTGAGTTACAGGATCTTTAAAACTGATAACATTTTAATTAGCTAACAATTCCGAATATGTCCAAGTCAGTATAAATGCTTGTATTAAAATCTAGATTGACTTTAACAGATTAGTTGGTTGTGTCCGAGAATGTCATGTTTTGAAGCAATGTGTTTGTAAAATTTTTCAATTTCGGATTTTTCATTATAATTATGACCGAGTTTGATTTCCTACCTTCTAAAATGGGCATGTATAATTATACGGGTTTCATATGAAGAAAAAAAAACAACAAGGAAAATATAAACAACCCGCTCTGCAAACCAGCGTTTGACTGTTTATGTGTAGCAGAAACTTAAAATATGATAAAACTTTTGCTCATTGCACTTAGGCTTGAACGAATTGTAGTTATCCAAAAAAGATTAATATATTTGGCTGATATTATAGTGTTCTAATTTTAACAGTAAACGGCGCCTGGGGGCCATGGATAAACACGTCCTCTTGCTCTACAACATGTGGAACGGGCTCTCTGACTCAAACACGAAGCTGTGATTCTCCAGCTCCCAATAACGATGGTGAATACTGTCTTACACTTGGAGGCAATAGGGCGCTTGAAGAGAATCGAACCATAGAATGCTTTATCATCGCTTGTCCAGGTAAAATATGCATTGCACGTCTTTGACCAATTAAATCCGACATGGGTAGAATTTTTGATGAACAGTACAAGAAATATGTCTGAGCAATAACTCTTGATTAAAAAAAACCCTTAAAAGGTCATACTCTTAATTAATGTCAGACATGTTCCTTTTATTATCCGACAGTGCCTCCAAACTTGAAACTAGGAACATGGACTGGACACTCCTTTTTTAAACTTATAGATCTTACAAATTCTGACTCTTAGTCTAGTTGCTTGACATTTTATAACTAGCTTGCAAATTGCATATTCACAGTAGACGCACGAGAAAATCATTTTAATAGCTTGTTTTAATACGTCATCTAACTACATGCTTTGATTCTTTCAGCATAATATACGTATGTTTTGCTTTTGTCATACGCATAAAACCTGTGCGCAGATTCTTCTATGCGTTGCTATTGAATTAGCGACTTGTAAAAAGGTCTATAATGAAATTTTGTGCAGCATTTTATAACTTTCTTTCATAACATCTCCATAAATGTGCTTAACCTACAGAATAAATGATTTATTATTTTTAGATATGTACCTTTATTCAGTTGAAAATATTTATTTGGACGAGGTATGACTAGAAATATCGCTCTTCCATTATAATATTACATTTAACCTTTTCATCAAAACCTCGAAAAAGCCGTTGTTTCATAGAGCAAGAAACTTTATAATCATTGCTTAGTACTGGTTGGTTGCAGGAACGGATTCGAGAGTATTTCAATAAGCTTACAGCTACCAACACAATCGAACTAAAATAAATTTGTATAAACTAAAACCTCGAAAACATAATTATGTCATCTTTCATTACTTTCACGTTTTGATCTAAAGTATAACTTAGAAAGCGGTCAATGACAAGATTATAATGCTATAGGTCTTGATCTTCACAAAATACTAAGAGTGGCGAAATTTTACGAGTGGTTACGAGAATTGTATCTACATGTATATCATAACGCAATATGTCTGCCGAGTTGGAAATCCTTTGATTATACAGTTCCTTTGATTATACAGTTAAACGAGCCGTCTCGTTATTCACTATCAGACTTCTTTCAAAATTGGTATCAAATATATACATTATTTTGATTTAACATTAATATTGGTTCAACAGTAAACGGTGACTGGGGGCCATGGATAAACACGTCTTCTTGCTCAACGACATGTGGAACTGGCTCTCTGACTCAATCACGAAGCTGTGATTCTCCAACTCCCAGTAACGGAGGCGAAGAATGCCTTACACTTGGAGGCGATAGGGCATTAGCAGAGACTCGAACTGTAACCTGCTTTGAAATGGCCTGTCCAGGTAACATGCATACATGTGCTGTTCTGTGATGTCCAGTGTGTGTTGTAACTTTTGTTGTAGAATTGCCACTGACATTTACCGTCATCAGTGTAGTAATATGTGTGTGTGTGAAAAACATAGCCGTACTTTAGATTGTTTATTAAGAAAGTTCAAGATTACAAATACTTATTGCGCGGGTAACATGATTAATTGTTGGTGACATGATTAATTGCTTATTGCCTGTACTGCTTATCAATTTATAGTTACGGAACCACTTATTTCATTAATTCATTTCATTCAGTCAACTCCTTTTCTTATTAAGGCAACGGTCAAATAAAGATTGATAAATAATATATAGTGTCATTTCATCATTTAAGCATCAGTAGATGGAAATTGGTCGGACTGGGGTCAATGGACCACTTGCTCAAAATTGTGTGGAGGGGGAACCAGGTCACAAACCCGAACATGTACAAACCCTTCACCTGCAAATGGCGGACTGCCTTGTCCTGGTGATTCGAGTCAGGCCGAAGACTGTAATACAAATGCTTGTGCAGGTAAATACGTGCATTAATACAAAATGAGAGAAACGAAAACAATGAAGAGAGTGACACAGTCATACAGGTTATAAAGTGGACTTCCTTTATGTCTCAGTCGATAATACAGTTAATATAATTGCTCATCCTTGTACATGCTTGATACTCGGCAGCTCACAATTGATATTGCACATGCTTACACGTAGTCAAATTTTCTAATTGGTCACCTTCATCTTTTTTTACATTTTTTCTCTCTAGGAAAAGATCGGTAAAATTATAGAATGGTTGCTTTGATTGAAATTGATTCCATTAAATACCAAAATTACATGTAAAAGGTAGGTCTTGCAAACGTTTTTGGGTGAGTCTAGTTGTTATACAGGACCATCATCTTCGTTCAGTCAGTGATACTAGTATTTTAAACATTACCGATAGATGCATATTACAACAGATCAGTCGAACTAAACCAAGGATTCATCAAGTTGACTAAAGTTTATAAAGAGCATAGTGCAAAGTAATTACAAGATAAAAAGAGATTCTAGTGGTTAATTTTAAAACGGCTGGACCACATTTCTGTATCGACATTCTTGACATGTTAGTGTTTGTTTTTTGTGTTTTTTTTTCTCCAAACCATTTAGTTCCACATTTAAGAGGGGATTCATACTACACATTACGAGATGGAATCTTATTGTTTAGGTCTTTAGTAACGCATGGTTGAATTGATAAAAAAGACACTTTTCATATTTGGGTAAGTTAAAGATTACCCTGTCATCAAATGTGTTCGAAAATTTAGGTAAATATAGCGTAAACTGTTTTTGAAACAGTACATTTTAATGCGTGACCAATTAGAAATTTGGTTGAATGTTCACACATATTTAATCTTGTCTCTATGTGACCCTACATGATAAATTGATTGGTATTCTATTATTATTGGGTGAAGAGGTAAGATCAAAGGAGGTACAGGCCTAGTACAACACTTTAAAAAATGCTTTAGTCGAAAATAACCACACTTTAAGAAACAGAAACGGGTGTGGCAGTTCTCGTTATTGCCTTCCTTCTTCGTTATCGATTAGAAAAAAACGTTCAGTAATGAGAAATATATCAATCAAAACGTTTTCTGACAGACGATACCAAAACGCTAGGTTGGTTAGCCAATCATAATTTGTTTTTAACATCTGCAAAATAAAAAATTCTATTGTTTCTGGTTTACTTGCTTAAATGCTGTCTCCTATTAATGCAGACATATTTGCTTTTGGCTTGTATTATTCTTGCACGTGCTTTTGTATCTAATGCTTCATCTTTTGCACTAGTAGTTATACAGTGTTGTTTGAGAGTGATGTTATTAATATTTGAGCCGCGTCACGACAAAACCAACATAGTGCATTTGCGACCAGCATGGATCCAGACCAGCCTGCGCATCCACGCAGTCTGGTCAGGATCCATGCTGTTCGCTATCAGTGTCTCCACTTGTAATAGAGTTGGTAAGCGAACAGCATGGATCCTGATCAGACTGCGCGGATGCGCAGGCTGGTCTGGATCCATGCTGGTCGCAAACCCATTATGTTGGTTTTGTCATGACGCGGTTCATTTGCTGTTTGCTTACGTACATGTGTTCAATTCTTGTTTAGTTCGTGAGAATAATTATTGCTTAAACTTACTGTTATTCCCTTAAATGCTATATCTGTTGGTAACATTGTGTTAGTGACTTACCTCAGCATCTTTGATTAACAGGAAATAGCTTCATGTTCGTACATGTCTGAAAGAATGTATTACACTCAATATAAACTGGCACGAGACTTAAACTTAAAACGTTCCCTGTTTCAGCTGTTTTCTGTCCATCTTACCTTTATGTTGCTCAGGTACTAATTTCTACGTCCAATGTAACATTATCATGTTCACTTGAATTTATCTAAAAAAAAAATTATTGACAGTTACTTTCTTTTCAATATATTATGCTGATAGTAGATTATATTATAAATTTATATCCCGGAGAAATATGAAAATTTTCGAATAAATTATAGAGCAAGAAATTGTTAAGATAATTTCCGTCAGTTCTGAGAAGTTACAAAATAAAATATGCAATTGGGTTATTCACTTGGTTTTTAATTGTGTTACATTTGCATGCATTGCTGTTAAAACAGAATTAGTTATGACGCTGGTTGTAGTTGTTGCTAGATAGATAAACAGTCACTGAAAAGAGCGTTTGAATGCTTGTAGTGAATGGTGGCTGGAGTGACTGGTCTGGTTGGGGTACATGCTCAAGTTCTTGCGGTGGCGGTATCAGAAACAGAACGAGGTTATGCACAAACCCTCAGCCACTATATGGCGGCGCGCAATGCTTGGGCAATTCAATACAATCAGAGTATTGTGGTATTGGCAACTGTCCAATAAATGGCAACTGGAGTCCATGGTCAACTTGGAATATTTGTTCGAGAACATGTGGCGGTGGTGGATATCAAAGTCGATACAGAGCATGTGATAACCCATATCCCCAAAACGGTGGATTTGACTGTACAGGAGATTCGACTGAGATCAAAACATGTGGAGAAGCCGATTGTCCGGTTAATGGGGCATGGGGGAGCTGGGAACCTTGGTTGCAGTGTTCACAGAATTGTGGATTAGGAACCCAAACAAGATACAGGTATTGCGACAGCCCAATACCTCAAAATGGAGGTAAAACTTGTACGGGATATGGTCTTGAAACTAAAGATTGTAATGGAAATAGTTGTCCGATTAATGGGCAATGGGGATACTGGACATCATGGACTATTTGTTCCACGAGTTGTGGACCTGGGACATATTCTAGAAATAGAAAATGTGATTCCCCTGCTCCTAAAAATGGAGGACAGATTTGTAGTGGAAATAGCTATGAAAATGGACAATGTAGCATTGGAGTGTGTATTGATGATGAAGCATGGAGTCCATGGTCACCTTGGAGCAGTTGTTCAAAATCATGTGGGGAAGGAAAAGTGTCAAGAACCAGAGATTGTTACAGTCCAGAACCAAATCATGTTGGGAATTATTGTTTAGGTGACAGAAACGAAAGTGTTTCATGTATATTGCGTAAATGTGCCGTGAACGGGAACTGGGGCATTTGGTCTCCTTGGAGCTTTTGTTCAATCACATGTGGACCTGGTTCTATTTCAAGAATCAGAGAGTGTAACAGTCCGGGACCAGAAAACGGCGGGAACAGCTGCTATGGAGAATCGTCGGAAGAAATAAGTTGTTTTATGTTACCATGTCCAGTTGATGGCGGATTCGGTCCATGGTCTCCTTGGAGTAAATGTTCTGCAAGTTGTGGAATAGGTGAAAAGTCAAGATTAAGAGAATGTAATAATCCAGTCCCTGCAAATGGCGGGAAATACTGCTCTGATTTAGATTTTCAATCAAGCGTGTGTAATGTAACAAAGTGCCCTGGTATGTATCCATTGCCGAACTGTTTATTTGATTGTAAAGGATGCTATTTAAGAATTACTTTAGCAATGTTTTAAGCATCTAGGTTAAGAAAAATGTACAAAAGAAATGATTATTTAAACCAGTGTATAAAATTGTTCTTTAAAATTATTAGTTACTAAAATCCTTTTCTTAAATACATGTATTATGTAATTATATTACATTGTAACTTTAGAGTGGGTTGAAAATTTTGACAAATCAGTTTACGAAAAATTAGTAGTAGTACATATCTCACTTTTTATACATATCCCATTTAGTTGATATTTGCATGGTTCTTTTGCATATCACACAGTATTCACGTAAGCATTTTATATTTTTACATAGATGCATATATTTAACCAGGATCTAGTAACTCAGTTAGTATTATGAAATAATGATTACAAAAATGATTTTTTAACATTTTTATGTACAAAATCTAATGTTTAAAACACGCACCAACTTGACAACAAGGGGCACGCATCTATTTCTTCTAAACATTTTACCACAGAATGGGCTTGCAGCAAGCTATCCCTGAACTATCAGAGAATGCCACGCATAAGTAGTTCAAATCACTTGCTTTTTACGTTTTTGGACAATTTGTGGAAGTCATTGGAACTTCTCCGTCATTATGCATTATTCGGTTACAGTTAACTTTGTGTCACCTGGTGTATTAGATCATGTTATATATAAGTTACAACTGCCATTGGTGACAATTCAATTTTGTCAAATCACGTAAGCGTATCTCTCGGGCAACCATGTGAAAGGTTATTTCACCTTGCTTGCTTTCTAACATGTAAGACTAGAGAACCACCTCGTGTAATTGTTGAATATTAAAAGACAGACCAAAGAAGACAAGATTGCAAACGTTTCTATATATATCTGGTTCTTCCACCACACTAGTAATTCTCTTTTGTTAAATTATTATCAGCAGTAACAACAGCTGCAACAATAATGATTTAAATTGAAGTGAATTCATTCATAGAATATATTGGTTATTCTCCAATACCCGGTTGAATGTAATATGTATTTATCAAATAATGATTTAAGGAAAGCGGTTACTATGGCCATCCAGCGCTAAGAACTCAAGTCATGGGCTCGAATAACGCAAAGATAAATATACACATGATACCATGATATAATGGACTAGAAATGGTCAGAAAAAACCTATTAAACTTTTATTAAGTATTAATGTTAAAGCTTTTTTCATATTATAGCCTGATAAACATGTTGTTTTGAGTATCATGTGTTTTATATTCAGGTACTGGTCAAACAACATCAAGTCAAGCAGGCTTTTCATCAGAGACACCAGTCACTCAAGCTAGCGTAGATAAAAAGAGGAAAGAGGATGACTGTAAGATTAATGTTTTTATTTGAATTTGATAGCTGACTCATCAATGACCAATGTTTTAATTTTGTTCTAGGCCAAAATACGCACAATCATATAGAAAATGGCGGCAGTTTTTCTATGCAATATCTTATCTACATTAAACTAAAATACACGTGAACCGTATTGTACATAATATTAATTGAAACCCACCAGTTCCTGCGTTAACAAAGAGGGCAGTGTTTACAACAGCTGCTGCTGAAGTATTTTATTAGTTTATTTCAACTGTTTTCTTCCCTGAGAACATCGGAGATATAGCGTCAGCCTTGATTTTGATGAACTTATTCAATACCATTGTCTGGAAAGGTCATATATTAATATGTAAATTTGAAGCATGGTTAGAGTACAATGTTGTGCAGGATGCCCTGGCTCTATTCAAATTCCGTTGTGCTTTCTAATGGCTGTATTTACATTATTTTTCAGCAAATATGGGGGCTATCATTGGTGGAACTGTTGGCGGGTTGCTGCTGCTTCTTCTTCTGTTACTCCTTCTCGTCTGTTTTATCAGGTAATGTTCAGTGTAACTAAATGTAATGTATCATAATTATAGTCTATTTTTAACTACTAGTTTAATTTTAACTTTCATATTCCAATGGACGCAGTCTGACTCAAAAGTACATGACATATATGAAGGAATTGTATGGGTTTGTTTGTCTAACACTGTCTAAGGTTAATATGTGATAAGTCACGGACGTTTAGCACATGGTATTTCAAAATCTAAAATATATGAGCCGCACCATGACAAAACCAACATAAAGGGTTTGCGACCAGCATGGATCCAGACCAGCCTGCGCATCCGCGCAGTCTGATCAGGATCCATGCTGTTCGCTTACCAACCCTATTACAAGTTGAGAAACTGATAGCGAACAGCATGGATCCTGATCAGATTGCGCGGATGTGCAGGCTTGTCTGGATCCATGCTGGTCACAAACGCATTATGTTGGTTTTGTCATGGCACGGTTCATATATCAGACTATCTAAGCGTAATACTCCCTTCCATCCGGACTTGTGACAGCAAGTTGAATTTTGCAGTTTTTTATTAACAACAACAAAAAAGACAAGGGACCTTCTAGTAAGACTAAGGCGTTTTCAAAAAATATCTGTTCAGGTCGCTGTGAGAATACCATGTCGGCATGAGGAGGGGGTATAATTCATTGAACCTCTGAAAACGTTTTCATTATATTTTGTAGAAGACGGAGGAGAAAGGAGGTCAAACGTCGGCCGTCAGAAGGTGACAGATCTGTCAGATACATATCACAAGGTGATGATGTGACGGTCACGGAGAACCAACTATACAATTATGATGGAGAGACTCCGAGCCATGCAGTAAACGCTCTGTTTGTAGGTGGAATCCCCGAAACCCCACAGAGTCCAGGTTATATTCCTCACTTCAGTACAGACACCGGCGACAGGTATGCCGTCATAATGGACTCCAATCGAACAAAGCCGAAAACAAAAGAAAGACCAAAACTAGACACATTTAATTCGCAGGAAGAAAATGCAAAGGCAGAACCAAACGGCGATGTAAGAGCTTCAACGGACACAGTCAAACTTGCTGAAAATTACAATGATGACCAGCTTGGAAGAGGTGTCGACAACCCTGGCTATGAGGATAGCTATATTGCCCCGTACGACTCTGCCGAAGGAGGGACAAAACCAAAAACTAGTTCATCTTCTCCTTCACCGTACGATTATATTGACAATGAAAAACTAAAACGAGACGATGCCGATTTTGAGGATGATAAGTTGGCAGGAGATTATGCTACACTTCCGGATGACGGAAATGAAGATGGTGACAACGATGCGGAAAATAACGAAAGATACAAGCGGTTTATCAGCAGTGAACCGGAAGATTCGGCTGATGACGGATACTTGAAATCCCCTAAACGTGACAATGTTTTTGAATTTCCCGATACAAGCTAGACGTTAATATTTCAAATTTTACAAATACTGAGAAAAATATCAACGCATAAATTTAACAGTGTCAAAATGAAATCAGTGGTTCATTTCTACTTTACCAATTAGGTTCAGTAATTTAGGTTGTGCACTCGTGCTGATCACGTAAATCGAGATCTGTATCTTGAAAGTTAACCGAATTTATGGCTAATAAAATATGGCGGCAAACATATTGAATCGTGTTTATTAAGCTGTTGACAAGCCATTTCATTCTATTTTAGTCATTGTTACGCGTGATAAAACATGACTATTAGAGGACAATGTACAAATAAAGAAAGATGTAAGATGTTCATAACAAGCGTTTAGATAAGTGAACAGATGACGTTGCACTAGCTCCTGTCGATGTGTCCTATATGGTGACCTTCATCCCATCAGTCTCCATTTATTATGAGTATTGCCAATGTGACTGAAAACCGAATATAAACAATGCAATGTGAGTAGTCAAAATATTTTGACGTGCCAAAGCTATATTTTGAGATATTTCTGTTCTGTTTCAGATTCTCGCTATTGTGCAGATTTCAAATAGCACAATAACATCAGTAAAAATACATCCTGTATATCCTTTTATGTCAATTATGGGCGTATCAAACAGTGAAGTAAGTTAAGTGACTGTGAAATATGTTCAGATTGAAATATGTGATTAATCTGTGTTCATGATAAATCGTTTGTTTTTTTTTTCTCAATTATTTAACATTCAAGAAGCTTTATTTCAATTTTTAATGGTTTATATTTAAATCGGAGATTTAAGTTATGTTAGTAGTGAAATATAAATGACTTGACATAGAGCTACCATTCACACAAACGCTTGTTTATAAACATTTTAGACGTTTATCTTTAAAATCAAAACAATTTTTTCATTGTTTATATAATGAGCATTATTTGATATTTTGCGCGTTTTTTATGAATTTATTTTCCACCTTTTGAAGGATCAAAAACTGTGTTTTGTAATAGAAAATTTTTTGTTTATACATGTAAATATGTAAACAAAAACAGCGTCCGACTCATTTTTGGCATTCACCTCAAAATTATTTACTAATTAGTTTATAGTATTGTAAATATTGTTGTTCAAATGTGTGGTGCTAAAGATTTGTGACATGTCTGTTACATAGGTACTCGCAAGGTCCGGAAAAATTCGGAGAATTTCGTTAACTTTCCGCGCCTTATAGTGATTGTATATACCGTAAGAAATAAATACAAGCTACGGAAAATTACGATGTTGGCCGATTGGGTTATACGGCCTTGTCAAACTAATTGGTGCTGTAAATATGTCTGTATTTTACTTTGCAAAGAAATCATGGCTATTTAATCAGTTACTAAAAAAAATCCACAACATGTGTTTGTTTTGTTAAAAACGCGCACACAAGTAGATTCAGTAAGTAGGTGCCATATTTTGTTATTAATATGCAGATTCACAATTGTTATATTCTATATCATTTGATGTTTATCAATGCACGTGATATATTAAAAACTTTATAAAATTTATAAAAACGTTTTTGAATATTTTTCATTTTTATCTCTTATAAACGGAAAGGTACAGGTCAATGGTTAAAAGCATAAATTGTTTACTAAAACTGAGGCTACACTTATAAAACTGTAACATGTTAACCAAAATCTGGGTATAAACTTAAAAAAAACGGATAAAAATCGCTGGGTCTATGCTGTAACGCTGCACAAATCACCTCGATCTATACTGTAACATTGTTTATTTTACGAACAGGAAAAAAGGTTCAACTGGTCATTTACTTTTATAAACGTTTCCTAACATAAAGGACTACCGGATTCGGTTCCTTACAAGCAAAGCACAAAACATCTTTTAGGAACTGAACTACTTGTAGTATGGAACGGGACCTGTCCCCCCAACAAATAATCCTCCATCTTTAAAATTCTATACTGTAACAGGAAAACGTGATACTGTAACACGTTCCCTACGGTGTAAATGAAATAGAATCTTGAAAGCGTAGCAGACGTTATGAGGCTTGTGCATCAAAAACAGTTGTCAAAAGATAATTTTGCAATCTATTAAAATAATGGACTATTTTGCTACTCACTTCATATTTTATTGTTTACCATAAATATTGACAAATAAATGCATTATGATCAGTACAGTGTAAATCATTTAAGAGATAAAGTCTGTCAAGATCTGGTCTATTATAGTAATGAAGCGATGCACAATGTTCGGTGTCACTGCTTGGCTCTCCCACGTGCCATAGTCCCTGACCTATCGTCTGCTTTGTCGTCTGCCATGTAAATACACTCGGGTCATTCTGACTTTGTTTTCCGCCAACCCAATATTTAGCTATAAAAATAAAATAAAGGTATATCTGACTGCAAAACTTATATAACCTTTGTATCTTTTTTCATTGTTAACATGAAAATGTCAAAATGGCGACTTTCTATCCGTACTGACGGAGAACCACCATCATGCCACAATGAACAAATAGGAAACTGTACCGAAACGCAAACATACTGTAAGTTTTTTTTTGTTGGTATTTTGGTATGTCTTGCTTACCAATCTGAAAGGACCAACAGCTTTGTTGACAGTCAAATTTAAAGCAGACCCATTGAGCATCGGTTCGGAAATGTTTGTTGCAGTCTTAATCTGCATAAAACAACATCAACGTTAAACTAGTTTAATGTTATACCGTCGCCTTGACAACATTCAAAATGAAGCATTTGTTTACTTTTCATAGATATATACCTGTATTGCTCACATTTCAAATAACAAGCTAAAAAATAATATCTGTTCGGGGTTGTTAAGTCATCGTATTATTCCATACTTTGCTCAGTGTGTGTTTGGATAGACGTTTCGGCATACCAAACTCCGACGCAGTGGTCCACCTTTGCTTCGCTAGCCAAAAATACCCCCACTGTGATGAGTTTGTCAGTATACTTAGAAAGCCGAGGAGTTTAAGTAATAGAAAGAGCATCGAAACACGAGGCTATCTGATTTGTACGAGGGGGGCATAGCCCCCGAGTATAAATCAGATTGCCGAGTGTTTTGGTGTTCTTTCTCTTTTGTATCATAGTCAAACATAAAAACCTGTTCCCTGATACCACAATATGAAACCCCACAAAAAAGGAACCAATGAACGAGCATCTGAATATGATATTTCCATCGCTATCCCTTCCTCTGTCGTCACAATATGTAAACCCCGGACAAAATGAACCAATCACTGGGCACGCTCTGGTGTGCGGGTAACTAATACCTGCACTCCAGTTAACGCACTGTGCATGTATATGTATACGATTTAACTCTGTCACATTTTCAACAGAAAGGTCCCCAAACTATGATACAATCATCTTTAAAATTCCATTGATATTATAAAACGGTCGCAGAGTTTACAGTACACCTCTTGTTTCAAGAAACCGTGTCTTTTTAGTAACTTGCGTTACAAAAGCAGAATCAAAACTATTCGGCGTACTTTGCTATGTACAGTACTTCCCGCAGCTTAAAGGAACATTTTACCTCAGAAACAAAAATATTTTTCATATTTAGAAAGAACAAATATGAGGTTTATAATGTTTAAATAATGGTTTTAGAGCACGTTAGGTGCTTATTGTTTAAGGCGAGTATAGCAGAATGTGCGTGCAGGTATTTGTCATCAAGGCAGCAAAGTGTAAACAATGATGTAGTTGGACTTCCATACAAAATACTTTATCATTATATATTTCTACTAATAGTAAAAAAGGGGCAAAAGAAGATTCAGGAGGTTAGACTAATGAGCAACTTTTCGGAAACTATAACAGGACACAAAAATAAAAAGCCTTTTTAAGAAATGAAAATAAAAACATGACTTGGATGTAATGACCATCCAAAGAGCAGGGTTCACACATATTCATGGTTGCCATAACAACGTAATATACAGAAATAAGGAGAAAAACATTACCTTTTACAATTGCCAAAGTTCTTAAGAACTTATCAAAAAACTTTATCTTTGCTATTGTATTCGGTTCGACGAGAGCCGCGTGTTCCGAATGGCATTTGTCTTGCGCTTGTTGCCATGTCCACATTGTAGTGTATATTTTAAAGCACATCCCAACAGCTGCAGAGTACAAATAGCTTTTGTCCGGACATTCCCCTGAAAAAAATGTGTTGTATTTACCAAATCTCAAAATAAATGAAAAATACTTTGATATTGACGAAATTGGCTTGAACCATGATGGTATGATGCCGGTGGTGAGGATGAACAACTGTGCGATACGGGCGACACAGCATCGATAGTACAATTATAAATGTAAAATGTCGATTACACTTTCAACTACCTCTACAATATCAAGGTATTGATGTAGTAATATCGTTACAATATCGAGGTAATGATGCAGAAATATCGTTACAATATCGAGGTTTTGATTTAATGATATCGTTACAATATTTATGTATTGATGTAGTAATATCGTTACAATATCGATGTATTGATGTACATGTAGTTATATCGTTACAATATCGGGGTATGATATTGAAATACCGTTACAATATCGAGGTATTGATGTAGAAATATCGTTACAATATCGCAGTTCTAAGTAGAAATATCGTCACAATATCGATGTATTGATGTAATAATATCGTTAGAATATCAAGGTATTGATGTAGTAATATCGTTACAGTATCGATATTTTGATGTAAAAATATTGTTACAATATCGAGGCATTGATGTAGTAATGACGTTACAGTATCGATGTATTGATGTTAAAATATCGTTACAATATTGCGTTTTTGATGAAGTAATATCGTTAAAATATCGATTTATTGATGTCGAAATATCGATATAACATCGCAGTATTGATACAGTAATATAGTTACAATATTGATGTATTGATATAGTAATATCGTTTTAATATCGAGATATTGATGAGAAATATCGTAACTACATGTAAATCGATATATTGATGTAAAAATATCGTTACAAAATCGAGGTATTGATGTAATAATATCGTTTAACAACTATAGGGTTGTATTGGAATCCGAGTCGGTGATACCCCTGACGAAAAGAAAACATCTGAAGTTTATTAAATTACATTTGGAATTAGAAACAATTTGGAATTATAAACAAAGCTGGACTAATTCATCAAATGCTTATCTTATTCGATCTATTAAGTTTTATTGTTTGGTGACTCTCCAGTATCCATTGAATAAACAACAGAACATATGCAAATTAGCTTTAAAAGTTAACAATAAAGAGTTTATACAGTCAAACCTGTGTTAAAGACCACCTTCGAAAAAAGACCAATATTTGAATAAAGACCATTCTTCGGTAAACCTCTATTGATTAAAAGAACTAAGTTACCTCAAAATAAAGATCACTTGTCTGTAAAGGCCATATTCAGTATCTCCTTTGGATGGCCTTTGTTCACAGATTTGATTGTATAGTCAGTGAACGGATTCCAAAGACTTTAACCACCCAGTAATCTAAGGATTTCTGATCGCGCGGGTTCAAACCCTGTCAGGGGCAAGCCATAGTTTTCATAACATTCATTGCTCAGCACTGGTTGGTTGGTTACAGGAACAGATTAGAGATTGCTTCAATAAGTTTATAGGTTCCAACACAATCGAACTAAAATGAATTTGTATAAACTAAAACACTGCACATTAACTGATCAAACGGAAGACATACTTGTGAAGCCTATTTCACATATGAAATAAGAAGGTAGCGAACAGTTGTCGTCATTCAGGAGAATACGGTGTGCTTGATCAGCAAAATATGTGGCCGCGGCACAATTCTCGTGAAATCCCTCTGGGTATCTGAAATTATGAAAATACATTTCCTTTAAGAATGAAATAAATGGTCATAATTTAAAATGCTTTGACTATCAGATTCCTGTCCTGAAACAGACTACTTTTGAAACACTGAATCATTGTCGAATATTGATACCTTAAACTGCATGTGAACACGAAAAGAAAACCTCAATTATCAGGATCTTAACCAAGTCAGGACTATAAAATATGAAAAGACACAAAATTGCAAGAAGAAAGGTGTACGTTTTTATAATAAAATCGGTTCTTTTGTTTAGTTGGTTAAAGGGTTACACATATTTGAGCAAATGTGATTAATGAATTTTCAGCTGTACTGAAAGAACCGCCGACCGTTGGATAGCTTCACAATCACAAATTCTTTGTTTGTTTGATTGGGTTTAACATCACACCGATACAGTATAGGTCATATGGCGACGTTCCAGCTTTCCTGGTGGAGGAAGACCTCAGGTGCTTCCGTGCATTACTTTAGGCCTGCATTATTATTTCCGGCACCTGAGTAGAACCACCATCACAAATATCTATTATAGTTATAATGTTATAATTAACAAACCCAGCATCATTCGGCTCCCCTGGGTGAAAGTAGAGTTTGGTGTCAACAGTTGTATTGTCAACCCAAAGCCAAGTTCCTTCATGTCCAAGATCAGAAGCTCCAACCCAGTAGCGTGACGTCACGGCTATTATTTGCAGGATAGATAAAGAATTAATGTAAGTCTTAGACTTAATAAATTAAATTTTATTTCAAAGATGTTTATGTTTAACAAGTATCTAACTAGGTTTATAATATATTTTATATATATCATGGTGACAAAAATGACATTATTTTGTGATTTTTACATAAAAGTGCAATTTTCATTTAAGATAATGAAACAGTTATGAAACATTTACATGTCAAATTCAATAACCAGGTTTCAAAATAAAATTCTTCCGGTTTGTCATGAAATATAACCAGATCTCCGCCATCTTCAATGCACTTGTCACGTGATTGTTGCCATGATAATTTTCGATCACTGTACGGTTTGAAGCACTTGTCGTAAAAATTTAGATACCTGTATCCCACTATCTTACATTGCTGGTCTGAAATAAATTGATTATTTGTTAATATACATGGAGTAGGTATATTTGAGTTACATAAGAGGAAAGCACTTTCAAAAAGTTCATGAAATACAGTTCACGTCGTCACTTCCGGAGTTTAAGTGTAAACGACAAAGATGCTTTTTTTTTAAAGATCATGTGATGTTAAGAAATTTGATTAATGAATCTGTTCCCTCATTTCTGGAAAAAGCTCAAAAATGATATAGATTTAGATAAAAGTATATAACTTGTAGCTCAGTTTGAGGGACTCATCTGAGTTCGAACTTCAAAACTTTGTCGTGTATTCAATGAATTTGAAATTTTGGTACCAATGTTAGGAGATGCTGACGGAGGAATTTTGGGACAAGGGTGGCCAATCAACGTGTCAAACAAATGTATTGAATATAAATAGTGATGACAAAGAGCAATTAAAAATATTCAATTCTAGAATCGAGAAAGTGACCGAAACAATAAATATCATTTACAGATAAAGACTATGGTATGCAAACGTCATTGTTCGGGTAAAACAAGTTTCATACTTTAGGATTGTCGTAAAATAGATTGCTATAACCTTCGATTGCGATTTATTCATCTAAATTAAAACTAAACACCATAATTATTTAACTAAGCAGTCCAGTAACTGAACTGTCTAGATGTGGCTGAGCTGTCTAGGTTTCACTGTATTTATTTGAATCACTTAATATAGGGAGATTGACACATTTCCAGAAAGATTTTTATTTGTTGAATCCCTTTATTCCCCCATCTAGCATGCTTGCTCAACTAATGGTTAGCATATGCTGCGCCCTTATCTTTAAATCACGAGCTCTACACTTACCATTTCAGGTTTTATAACGTCATTTTTTACCAATACTAGTAAAACATTGAGCTTTGTTGAGAAGGCATGATGCAATAAGCTTAACAAAAATATCTAGTGACAAATCGTAAGCATGGTGGACAAGAGTCAGTATGTTGGAATCGGGGAAGTATTAAGTTAATGTCGCTAATACTAAGTTTTAATAGTTGTATACCTAAAGTAGTTTGACTGAGCATACCTTTAGAGTACATTGTAGGCGCCGGAAATGGCAGAATTTGAGACTGTGTTGTCTTGTAACTTGTTGTTGATGTGATGGCGGTCGTCGGCTTCGACGGAATCATCAAAGTTACAGAATTACAATTGCTGAAAATGTAAAAAAGTTTTAGAATGTGAAATAAAATTGCGATCATATTTGCGCATGATTGTTTTGGTGGGATGCTTAGGATTTTTTTGGATGTCTCTTAAGACAATGCAATGGGTGGAAAAGACCACCAACCTTAGAAACTTTATAACCTACTGCATGGTTTGCGTGAATGAATGATTTGAAGAAAATGAATGATTTGAAGAAAATGTTTGATTCAATAGCAAATATGTTTTGTAACTTTAAAGTTAGATTGTGAGACAAGTTGATGATTTTGCCTATTTGTAGATTATTCGTATAAAAATAATTCTGTTTTTATTTGATAACCGATGAGCAGACGATAAAATATTGGAATTTCTGGCGGTATTGAAGCTCAACACCAGATCTTTGTGCGACAATGTGACTAAATATTACAATGTTTAATGTGTACGGACAGATGCAATGGAATAAAATCGTAGATCTAAGCAGATAAAAGTAACAATTTTACAACTCACTTATTACAGAATTCGGTTTGACAGCAACCGGAACAGGAAGTTGCGCTTCTTTTACCTACTGGTATCATATAGTTACCTCTGTCACACTGAAATGCAAAAAGTTAAGCGTACCAGCAAATATAAAACACTCCAAATCATTGACATATAATTGTTTACAACGCTTGCAATGTAATATCTAACATACAGAACAGTTTTTATAAGACAAATAAAGGCTTTTCGTACGTAAAACCCTAAACTAGTCTAGACAGTGCATGTGATTGTAAGAATCATAAAGCTGCATATTCACTTTTATTTTACCATTGTCATTTATATTATGAAATAGAATGCATATGAATATGCATTAGTCGTTTTCAGGAGGCGTGTCGTACCGATCTTTCACCGTCACTTAATGAGAAATCACGAGTCGTTAAAAACGAAGACGAAATACTTCTTCCTGTATTGCTTCGTATTTTGGAACTTAAAAGCAGTTTCATGTTTTTGTGTCATGAGAAAATCTAAAAGAGACATTGAGAGCTGCAGTTAGTACATTGTAAATGTGAGAAAGTTTGTCTCCATATTGACTGACCGACTGACCGACAGGTGTTATACATCTTGAAAGCACTGTTTATAAATGTACAAAACTTCAACTTTGTTCAACAGTACTGGTGGCTAGATAGGGTGCATTTATTTGACCCAAACATCAACTGAAGTAAAAATGAAGCCAGTGAGGAGGATAAATTTGTCAACTTAGAAACAAGCTATATCGAAAAGTTTACTTACCTTTTTACAGCCAGTTTTATATAACTTGTCACCTCCGATACCGACTATATCTTCAATGGAACAATGCTAAAACAAAAGTATACGTTATGAAGTTTTTTTAATGATTTATCTATTGATATATTTCACACCTTTTAAAATTTAACCTATGAACTTCCAGCGTTTGCAACATGCAATCATCAGTTAATGCAATTTGACCAGTTAAACCTCGTTTTCATTTTAACAGTCCAAAATTATACATCAAATCACTTTTGTACTCCAGCTAGCCTCGTTTTTATTTTCCGAGTCCAAACATCCTTATCCTAGCTCTGTCTAGCATCATTTTCATTTTCAAAGTCAAAAAAATTATATAAATTCTTATAAAAATCCTTATTGTACTCGAAGTAACAAAATTCTGTCAAAGAATTGATGGTGTGAAATAAAGATGTCATTCTAAATTGCTGAGTACAACACTGATTCTGATTTCTCGTTTAGGGCACGCATTTTGTTTTACTTGTGGACCATACGCCCTTTCTTTTCAAGGAATGTCACGAAAGTGTCACATTAAAATGTCCGTGATAACCACCCTATAAACACATTTTCACAATTTTTCATGTTACTTGGTGACTATATGCCGCTTTTCATGGAATGTCACGAAAGTGTCAAATTGAAGGTTCCATGATAACCGCCGTGTGTACACATCTGGGGATGTTTCTAAATTCCACATTCCATATGACTGCTTAAGCCTGTGCTAGAGGGACTTGGTGGGTTACTTGCAGTTTCCAGTATACTGTCTATGGACATCCTCAATATACCATCATGGATGAATTACATAATGTGTTATTACAATGCTATGATAAAGTTTTATAATATTTTACCTCATCTTGTCCGCAAACTACCACAGTTTCGCAATCACCTGGCAACGCAGTTCCTTTTTGACAGTTAAAACATAGAGGCCCGCGTGCACTAGGATATGGTTTGTGAGCTGAAATACGCAAACATAGCATTTATCAATTGTATTACTAGTATTTTGGAACTGAACAAAATGTCTTCATAAAATCACATCATCTAAAATTGCCAAAAATAATGAAGACATCAGTGTACCTATAAAGCGCCACTGTCTTTAAAGGAGCTCCACTGAGGTCATACACCCATGTAACATAAAGTTTGAAATTCTTATATAGATCAAGTGAAAAACTTGAAATACCAAAAAATCGACAAAAGATGATAAAAAAAAATATTCGGAATGAAATTGAATATCGATTTCTGTGCGATTCTTAGCCCGATATGAGCGAAAAGTGCTACAAAGCTTTTCATTTCTGAGCCATTTTTCACAATAAAATGATTATTCTGGAGTGAGGGAATGATCTGAAAATGTGCAGACAAATTATTGATTCCGACAGGGTCTTTCAAATAGAATCTGAAAGACCCTGATTCGACTCAATAATCTTGGAAAAAATATAACCAGTTCTTTCATGTCAAAAATCCTTAGTAGAGTCCTTTTAAAAACGTACGAAAAGTTTCAGATAAAAAATCGCACATGTATCAATTGATGAACATGTTTTTTTTTCAAATGTGCTCACAGCAATGGACAAGAAAATAAAAGAAAAATATACTTTGTACAAATGATTATCTATTCTATGTTCAAAATGCACGACACATTAGTATTTTAATCTTCATAGATTCATAGTCATATAATAACCCATGTAAATAAGCGCTGTTCGTCAAGATGTGTCTCATCTTCTACCCAACTGTGATGGGTTTAAGCCTTGTCGCGGCCATGTCTCCTCATGTAAAGTCAAGTCAGTTTGGTTCTAAAAGCGTTCTTGAAAGTGATTTATAATATGTGAAAGATTAAATGTAAAGGACCGTTTAAAGAAATAGAACTTAAATAATAAAACTTAAAGAAATAATTTGAAAACCTCTTACGTTCCGAATTACATCCGTGTGTGTTACAATAATCACCATGGCAACATTGTAAGCACGTGATTATGTCATTTGATTCGTCATCAGATATTAATAGGGAATCACTGATCACATGTCTCTTTTTATGTACCCAATTGATACACCTCTGTAACAAATATTTTTAAAATACTCAATTATTTATGTTATTCACTCACCTTTACCCTATACTTAGTATATGAAAAATATACCAAAATACCATTTGTATTACAAAATGCCTCTAGCATCATGCAGAGGGCCAACGTCTCAAAAACCAGTCCTGTCTAACAGTTAACTTTTAATCGTGCATACAGAGCAATATGTTTACATAATTCATAAACAAAGTTAAAATGGGGTAATAAATCATAACACCATTGCATAGTAATATATAGTTCACTCTCAAATAAGATAAAAAAAATGGGTAAATGTACAAAAGTACTCGTAGAATAATAAAAAACTTGTATTGCTTTTTTAAAATGTCATTTTAGCGCTATAAGTACGTTTTAAAAATGTCATGTTAGCATTATAAGCAGAGTTCATTTCATGATCAAACATGATTATGAACATGTATTATAGATTCTAAATTACAGAGACACGGGAGCGAATATGATGGCATTATATCTTTTTACCACACACACTTATTTAAGTGAAATACAAGGCACATTATCCCTCAGGAATGAATAAATTTGTTCTTCTATTTACATAAAAAACACTTAAATAATGTTTTTTGGGCATGTTTGATGCTTATGACTTGAAGAAAGTAGCACTGGAAAAGAATTATTTTGTAGCATTAGTAGCAAATTGTAAACAAAGAAGTATTTTGACTTCCATACAAAATACAATATCACTATAATTGTACTAATTGCCAAAAAACAACAAAAGCTAAAGATGGTTCAAGTTATTGGGAAATGAGTATTCTTTTTTGAAACGACACCAAAAATATAAAGCTTTTGAGAAATGAAAATTAAGCCATTCCCTAGTAATATAAGGCCTTTAAACAAACAAACATCGGGAAAACATGTTATCTTAAAACTTGTGTTTGCGTCAAATAAAGCAAAATTCTAAACTTACCACCCTGTCCAAGCAGCCTGTGTTGTAGAATACGTGACCACTGTGAGATACGATTTGTTTTGTGTAACACACCTGCAATTTGATATTTCATTTGTTCTGATTAAATAGTTTGATTGATATTGTAACTGTATATTACTGTCGGTGAATCACTCCCATTGTTATAGATATAAAACGGAGATCTCCACAAGTATGTGTCAACTACTACCATGCGTAATACATTCAAAATTTCACCTAGAATGTTAATATTTATACAATTATTTAAACTAGATATATTTTTCTGAAAGTTTATTTTATTTTATCTATTTGGAGAAGTGCCGATTGCAATTTCACCAGAAAACAGTTGCCCCCCCCCCCCCCCCTTAATCAAAACCGATCAAAACAACTATCAAAATGATGTCGTTCAATACAATAGCTGCTGCAATTCTTAGACTATTCTTAGTGCTTGATAGTAAAAAAAAATGCTTGATATAGTTATCTCCTCATGTTTACAGGTTGGGGTGATGATGGTGAACAAGTGTGCAAAGTTTCAAAGCCATATGTCAATGGACTTTGAAAATATTTGAGGTATTACAAAAACTTTAACATAAATTCTAAATCGAAAAAGGGGCATAATTCTGTCAAAATGCTTGATACAGTTATCTCCTCCTGTCTACAGGTTGGGGTCATGATGGTGAACAAGTGTGCAAGGTTTCAAAGCCATATGTCAATGGACTTTGAAAATATTTGGGGTATTACAAAAACTTAACATAAGTAGTTACGCCGACGCGGACGCAGACGCCGACGCAGACGCCGACGCTCGGGTTACTACAATAGCTCTACTTATTTTTATCGAATAGTCGAGCTAAAAATGAAGTTGTACCTCGTGATCCCCACATTGAGTCACGTGATCACAGTCACGTGGGAATGGTAGTCGCGTGCAATCAAAACATTTTGAACCAGCATCTGTAAACATAAATAGATACACTGGTTTTTGGTATACATAACAATAATTACTATAATAAGTAATTCAGTAGAAAAAGACATATGTAACAAAATATAGGTAATTTTTCAATATGATTTATTATTCATGCTAATTCTGAATCAGATTTATAAGAAATCTATATATTGCGAGATAATTATCATGTTGCTAACAGTACGAACCTGTGTGTACTAAAAATGATACTATGAAAATAAAGATGGACCAGTTGATGTCTTCCATTACTCAATCTATTCTTCTCAGATCTTGTTCAACACCTGAAATCGTAAACATGTAACAATGTATAGTTTTAAGAATGGAACTCGCGTCGATTACAATACAAATGTATAGTTATTTTTGTTTTAACATGTTCATACAAATAATATATACAGTCAAACTGTTCATAAAAACCAACGAAAAGTTAACAATTAAAAGAAACAGGCGTGGAGCAATAAACGTCTTCGAGAGTCGCATATCATATATGAATTAACACGATTCTACATCCTTAAAAATGAAATAGCACGTGCACGTGTAAACCTTCTTTTCAAAAAATCCTTTGAACATAGGAAAACTACTCTTGTATCATTATAAAGAGAAAGGTCCGCTGCTTACGTTTTAGTGTCACCATTAAATTTGACCACCATAGGAAGCCGTTTCAGAGTACATTTTTGGGGTAGCAATAACATTTCTAAACATTTGGGTAAATAAAGGAATATTGGTGAAATAGGAGTTCAGTTACGATAGATACATAATCTTCCACTCAATGTCATTCTATATTAAAATGATGATTTATTGATAAATAATCATAGATATTGCAATTTGTTTCTTACCAAAAAAGGTCAAAATTCAAAAGAACTGGTTACAGCGAATTTATTTTGACGGCTATACCGAGTATTCAGTGGTTATGAATCAATTATCTGTTGCTGTTACAATAAATTGCAGTACTTGGTTCACTATGAAAATATTATTTCTCTTTTTCCATTTACCGACGCGGAAGGAATAACGTAGAATCTATGTCCGATGTTGAACTAGGTTTAACAATAACTAAACTTAATTTTAAAAGAACAAAACTTACACTTGTACTTCCTGATGATATCAATATTTAAAGATTGTCACTTAATTGTTCATACAGTTTTAAATAAAAGAACCATGGCACTACATATCACTCAAAAACGTCTACACTGTACAACGTTTGAAGCGTTACGCTATCATAAACAGTGTTCAATGTACGTGAATATAACGTGAGAAACTGTCTTCCGTACAAATTCTGTCATTATGCTTCCAGGTGAGAAGTACAGTAATTATTTTACCGAAAATCGAATTTTCAGAACGAGAAGCAAAAATGAATTTGTGCATGTACTAACCATTAAAGAATTTCCCTTCAATATATGAATTCGAAATATCAAACTCTTGAAACGTCAAACAGTTTGCTCAGCCTGACGACGGTTTAAGTTTTCTACAGTACTTTTTTTGTAAAAGCTTGTACGAAAGAAAACTTAAACGTCCCAGCCTTCAGCCGTCAGAAAGCTTCAAATACAATACAAACACCTCTTTAAAATAGAATGTGTAGTAACATTTCCAAATATGATAACTGGTAATAGGCGAAGCCTTACAAATATTGAGCTGTACGAGTTTGTTATCAAAAATATCTCAGAATTAAGATAATTTTGTTATAGTGAAATTTTATATACACCTAGCGAATTTCATTGGCTGAATGTAGATCATGTTTAAAGAAACTTAGATACCATACCGTTACTCTAGTGCAATAACTAATTATCTACTATTGAATTTAGGACTTATTCCGTTACTGCCCTAGGGTGACGATACTTCATATATGGATAATAAACATTTTTCAGCACCAGTGAACGAATTCAGACCTACCAACATTGTCATATTTTCATTTTTAGCTCATCTGCTAACCTTATAGGTACTGGTAGCGTTATAAATGTTTTACAGTATTCACACTTTGCCCTATTTTACTTATCTTATGAAGGAGTTCATTTTTCAACTGTTGGCAATCTCTAAAATAAGCCGGGGAAAAACACGTTTAATTCCATGAGTACCGCCTGTTTATTATTGCTTTACTTAGTCCTGTTTTACTTACGGAAACACAATCAAGTACGTTTATATCATTATCCTCTTTCGTTGTCACAAATAAACGTACTTAAAATTATTGAAATACCAAAGGTGATTTAGTGGTACATCCGAGTTCATATTTCTAATTTCAGTTCATATGGAGTTTTTAATGTCGGTTCATTTACTGTCAGTATATATCCAAACGTTATAGGGTTATATTTCAGCATATAACATGTAGAAGCCAGGATATATAAAATATGGAACAGAATTACTGCATTTATTCCATCTTGCTTAGTGATAACATAGCTTATGACATCGGAAACCTTTATTTTGCTGAACTACATTATGGTTAATGGTAACTGAATGTGATGTCAATGTAACTTCATTTGAGCCGCGTCATGACAAAACCAACATAATGGCTTTGCGACCAGCATGGATCCAGACCAGCCTGCGCATCCGTGCAATCTGATCAGGATCCATGCTGTTCGCTATCAGTTTTTCTACATGTAATAGAGTTGGTAAGCGAACATCATGGATCCTGATCAGACTGCGCGGATGCAGAGTAGACGAAAATGAGTTACGGCTGCTCCGGCTGTCTGGCTAACTTCACGAACATATCTATTTAATCAAGGATAAATTCTATAGAAACGAACACAATGGTAAAGTTAATGTAAACTTGGGGGTAATGAAAATGAAAATTTTACATACATGTAGAGGCAGGATACCAGAGTATTCCTGACGGACACACCAATACCCGTGGACACCCGGTCAGACCCCCTAACCATCCCACCATATCGGGTTCTGCGGAATGGAGGCTGGGCCTCACAGGGGCCAGCCGGAATTTGCCTGATATGAGCTGAAATGACCATCTATATCATTTAACGATTTAGTACACTTAAAAATACAAAGATTTGGATAAAATGCAAGCGACAATCTCTTAACCCTGGTTATGCAATTCATTTTGGTCTGCCCTTGCATTCGACGTAACATTGGTCAATTACAAGACGTTTTTAAGTGGATCTCGCTCCTCTTACCTCTAACGTTGAATTTAGTTCAATGAGTGCAAGCATATGTGCACTACAGTCAACGTGACATTGATAAGTCTGAACATGTTGACCCAAATGTTGCCAGTTTATTTGCTAATGTTGAAAGGTTATACAATCTCAAAGTTGACACTATACATTCAAATACAGCATTCAGTGTACAATTTTTTTACCTGCTTGTATGTATTTATAGTTTTGCTTTTGAACTGAGAATAAATAATCTGGTCAGGTCAACAAGAAACATGTATTCGAAAAACACTCTAGTGACGGACGGACTAGGCTATGGTCGTGGTAAATTCCCTGCATTACCGTCACCTTGTCTAGCACAGATCTACATGAACAATGAAGGTAAACAAATAAAGGCTCTCTTTTTGTCTAGACTTGTTAATTAAGAATCAAATCTTGGAAACAGAAAAACAATATTTTATTTATAAGACCAATGCATGGAATAGGAGACTCGACAAACATATACTTTAAATTCTTATATAACGTATACTCAACTATAACCTTGTTTGAGAAGGAAAATTAATTGTCACATGATATATTCTACCCTGTTAAAGGAAAGGAAATAAACAATGCAGCAAATATTAGTACCTGTATCAAAGTTACCCACGATAAATAAATAGCAAATGTATCAGAGTAAATCATGATGAATAAATTACAAATGTATTGAAGTTAAGCATAATAAATAATTGACAAGTGTATCTTAGTTAGTCATGATAAATAAACAACAAATGTACTATAGTTAATCATGATAACAAATGTATTATTGTTAATCATGATAACAAATGTATCATAGTTAATAATGATAAACAAATAACAACTGCTGTAAACATTTTATCTAATTGATATTGTGTAACTGGCATGCAGTTATTAGAATCATACAGTATTGAGGAATCATAACATCTTAAACAAATAAGTACTTTTTTAATGTTTGCTACTAAAACAGACTAGTATCATATCAAAAACAAGAAAAGCATTGATGCAAAGCATCAAAGGGCGTCCAAGCAAGAAATGCAGCAAGTGAAGATGAACTAGTACACATATGATGACAAGATATTCTTATTAACTACCAGAAATGTATATCACTTATGAATGAGCGGACGACAGACATTGTTCATTATGAACTTTGATTGGCATGCTAGAGATTAGAATATTACTTGTTATTTCTTTATGATCGTGGTTATTAATAGCAACGGATATACATGTATGCAATTGTAACAGGATGGATAATTCGAGTGTCTTGATACATTTTTGGTTGTTTGAGTTGTTTCCCTTGGTTTCCCGCAATTTTGATCATGTGACTAGTTTTGTCTTTGTTGAAGCGGCTTTGTGAAAATTAAGATCAGACATTTTCTTAGTGTTTTAAATTTATTTAAAATTTGGATTATTGATAGTTGGTATTTATGATTTTGAGTTGTATTTGGTTATTATCAGTGTTTTAAAGAGTGTATGTCATAGATTTGTTTTTAATTAAGTAATGATTGTGGTCTTAATTGAAATATCATTAGTTTTCGTGGTTTGAGAATTGTTTCAGAAAAAGCAGTAAATCTATCTTTCTATTAACTTAATATCACATTTCATTCCCATCACTTTGCACATTTTGTTTATTATAATTTGCAGAAATTCCAGCACAGAGAGTTTGGAAGTATGTGTGTTTTGAAGAAGATGATGTTATATGATATAATTGTACATTCAGTTCCACAAACTGGTAAGTTTGGATATTCTCTATGATTGTTATGTATTTTATGATTATTTCATTAAATGAACTATTTATGTTAATGACAGCCAATAGAAAGCATATAACTATATTATATGTTAATGTACCTATGTGTAATGTGTTGCAAATATCTATTTGTAATTGATCAACTAAGTAAGGATGTTTTTATAATTGATAAATATGCTTTTCAGATATAGGAACTGGATTTTACTTTATTTTTATGTTGATATAATTTGTTTACTTTCAGAGTGTCGATTGATTTGATCGATTCGATTGAATGAGATTTATTGACGATTCATTGACGATTCATTTAGTTTGTCGATCATTGATTGGTTTACTGATGTTTGGATATATATGTAAGATTGATATACATGTATGTGAACTGGAAGATAAATAAATACATTAGAACTGTGCACAGTTATTTGTTTGGAAAGACATCTTTGATCCATATTTAGACGCCGCAGCGATATAAGAATAGAACCCAATTTCTTGGTTATTACAACCTTTCAATTTCAACCAAGTTACAAATGGCGCCCAACGGGGGACGGCGTCAACAGATCAAGATCGGTGACGTAGAAATATTTAGCAGATGAGCAAGGAAGTTCCTGGAACTGATGTCAACCGACTTATTGGGAAGACGGGCTATTATTCACAAAGTTAACAAGGACGGACCAATTTCACCCAAGAATCAACCATCTAGACAGACGTATGGAGTAAAGATGAACATTTAGAACTGTAAATTGTGCAGATATCATTTTATGTGTGATATATGAACAAATGTGACATTAGGACTTTATCTATTTATTATTACAAGTGAATGTTGGTACAGTGTTCTATTGGCTGCAAAGTTGTTCAACAGATTGTAAGTAGGAATATTTGATATGTGATTATTCAATTAATTGCAGTTGACCGATTAACAAAAATATATATAAATTTAGAAATAACAGAGTATAAAGTATTTGTTTGTGTTATTTAATATTGATTCTTTTGCAACTGCAGTTTTTTGAGTAATATGTGTGATTGATAAATTGTAAGTCTGAAAGATTTCACCTTTGCATGATTAATTAAATAACAGGTGAAGGCTCCCAATTCAGTATCAGTAATGTACCTTTTCTAACTGTCAATCAATCTAATTCCTTCTAATTAAATCTATTTCTTTTATACTGCTGATTGTGAAACAATTCTCTCCTAAATTCATTAAAAATTAGAGTGTA